CTTCGTATGCTGAGTCGTGACAACCACGAAGGCTTATGCTCTAATAAATTTGTTAGTCTCTAAGGTGCCACAAGTACTCCTGTTCTTTTTGCGGATACAGACTAACACGGCTGCTACTCTGAAACCTCTTAATTTAAGGGAGAGGTTTTTGTATGTGGACAGGAATCGAGTTAGGGGCAAGACTTGAGTCATAACTAGAGCTAACTGTGCTGTGAAGACACACACTTAAGTTCTTTTGAAATTTCAGCCAATTGGCACAGCTGCAATGGTGCAACTCCACGGCATAGGGAAGGAGATAGGATTTGCACCAGTGGAGCATACTTTGGGGAAATAAGTGAAATTGAAGTTAAATTCCCGTCAATCATGACTAACACCTTATTAAAGTGCAATAGCAGTTTCTCCTCTTCTCTTTTTTAAAAAAAGTGAATTCAATTCTAAAAGTTAAGTTTCAGCAGCATAAAGCTGCATCTTTAAAAAGGAGAGGAGGAAATAAAATAGTTAAGATTCTCATAGAAACACCAATTCATATATACTATGCTCTCTTTCACTTGTTATTAGAACGTACAGATAGAGCATATGCAACATAGGCAAATAAAGGTTTCTATGTGAACCTTACGTTTTGCATCTCCTGACTTTTAAATATGTAACCTTAATATTGCATTAAATCAAATTAACGTTCTGAATTTAAATTTCAAAATATATAACCAAAATTACATACTAGCTCTTCTGAACATAAAATATTTGTGTTCAACACAAATGCCAAGAACATATGCCAAGAACAATGAAGTAGCATTAGAAGTATATAGAATTTGTCCAAAACAAATGGGTTAAATACAAATACTGTAGTTCTCTGGTAGACATAATTTACTGGGCAGGTTATTAGGCACTGAAGTATGCAGAAATATTTTGGATATAATTTCAGACATGGGTACATATCTCTTCATATATTCTCAATATGATAATTACAACATGAATGTGCTCAAAAATAGGCTATATTTCAGCTTCTTAGGGTTAACTACCAACTTCTCAGGTGGGAGAATCGAGATGCAAGGAATTTTAGGAGCACTACACACCTGATTTCTTTTGATTCCTGCAGAGGTTTGGTCTTCAGAAAGGCTGGATTTGCATTTTCTGTTGATGAGTTACTTTCTGCAGGTGATGAACTCTGGCCATAAAGCACCTTTTTTCACTGCAAAAGTGTGGGGCAACCTGATTAACATATGCAGGGAGGGAGGGACTTGCAATCAGCTATGCCCTACCTTCTTTCTGATTCATTTCAATAACGAGGGTGAAACAGGATTATATTTAAGCAAAAAGGCATTAAGCAAATATCAGTTTGGGATATTCAGGATTCTTGTGTTATTCAGAAAGGGGCATGTTATCATAATTTGTATTGGATTAACACATAGGGGCTTCTGATCTTAAAACATGACACTGTCAATTTATTAAAAAAGACCAAGTAACTTCTATTTCTTGTATTATATTGTCAGCCTGTTCATGAACCTCATTTATAAAATTTCCTTTACAGTATTTAGTAGAAGACAGTAAAATGCATCCAGCCTACGAGATTGTCATCTATGGTCTAGGATCACCATTCCTAACATGAGAGGAAAAAACTATGTATTTAAATACAGAAAATTAAGCACAATGGAACCTCACTGATTTGCACTTTGTTAAACTGCACAGCTGCAAAACGAAAGTAGACTTCCAAGTTTGCTGTTCAGTGAGGAAGTAAACACAGCAGTTCCGATGTTGGGGAAGTCGCCTCCCTGTGGATAACTACAGGAATACAGTGTCACCGATGGATTACCTTTCACCCACATATCAAATGCCTGGAAGGAGATTAGACCACTTGCAGATGCTCCTCATGCTCTTCCACTGGTGCAAGCTCTCAGTGCTCCCACAGATCAATAAAGCCACAAAAAGAAGCCACCTCTGCCCTTCAGCTGAATTTACCCAGCCACAGAGAAAAGACAGGAAATGATGGCACTCTAAAATTTTCCACTACAAATCAGCTACCACATCCCTCTTCTCTCCTACTGCCAGACCAAAGCCATGGCAGCAGCACCAAGACAGGAGCAGAAGCAGAGGCAGTAGTAGCAGCACTGATGGCCAATAGTTTTCGAGTCAAAGCTAAGCCCAGGGTAGGGTTACCATTCGTCCGGATTCCCCCGGACACGTCCGGCTTTTTGAGCTAAAAGTAGCGTCCGGGGGAAATTTGTAAATGTCCGGACTTCGCCCCCCATGCAGAGCGCGCGCGGCTAACAGGGCAGCCGGCCAGATGGTGCCACTTACATGGGGCTCCGACAGCCAGAGACAGCCCCTCCTCCTCTCCCCTGCAGCAGAGATCACTCCCTCCCTGTATTCGCAGATCACCAGCCGGCAGTTCACACCGGCAGTCTGGAGCTCCTCCCCCGCTCCTCCTCCCCTGCACGCTGGTCTGAGCGGCAGGGTA